CGCTGCCAGCCACCGGGCGCCCCCTTCCCAGAAGGAGAAACAGGCTGGGCCCTGCTTGAGTTCTCTGTTGTGCCGGCTGCACCCACTGCCTCCCGGAGCGGGCACCGCCACGCCCAGTAATAGCAACAGTCCTGACGCCGTAATGTCCCAACTCCTTAAGTCACCTGGCACTCCCCTTGCCAGACCTTTTACCTTCTCTCCACGCCCCTAGAGGCCGCACACGCAGGTGCTCCTTCCTGGCCTAGGGGAGTGAATGAAGACTCCCAAGGACCCAAAGGCCAGAGCACCCACTACATGTGGGCTCCGTGGGTGCTCTGGGGGAGGGGAGGATACACCCTCTCCCTCTAACTTCGAAGACCTGGAGTACGCCCCACCCCGCAGGACGAGCTCCCCCAGAACTGGCCACAGCACCACCAAGTCACCAGTTACATGCAGGGGACCCCCCCACTCTTTCCCCTGCAAGCGGGTGACAGCGCTCAGCTGTCCCTGCCAGGTGTGAGTGTGCAAGGTGTGAGCAAGGATGAGGCCAGGTCTTCCTTACAGAGCCAACGGCCTCGGGAGGCAGGAGGCCGGTCTCAACCAGTGACTTGGAGAGAGAGCTAAAAAACCTGTGTAAATGAACAGAGCTGTTGCTGTGCTGTTGCTGTCGAGACCGTCAGGAGCCCCAGGGCCCAGGGTGGCCCTGCAGAGTCCTAGGAGGTAGTCACCACCTCGTGAAGTGACCGAGGCTGCTCTTACAGTGGTTTTGCTGACTCCTGGAACCCTGGTCAGAGCACCCCACCTTTCAAAGCTTCCCTGCTGCATTTGTCAGGCGGGGATATTCACGGGGTTAAATGCACCTGTGCCAGTGGAGCTGTCACCCAGCCTGGTGCCAGTAAAACTTCAATAAACAGAACTGCTGCTGCAGTCACAAGCCCAGGGTCCTTCAGGGGGCCAGATGACCATAGACTTGGGGCAGAGCATTTGGTTTCCCTTTGGGCAGGAGGTACCCTGAGAATTCCACCCCTTTGCTGAGGTGATGATCAGGTATGACTAAGGTGCCAACCCCCAACAATGCCTCCAGAGTACAATTTTTATATTAAAGACAGGATCTCACTCTGCCACCCACGCTGGAGTACAGTGACATGATCATAACTCACTGCCCTCTTGTACTCCTAGCCTTAGGTGACCCTCCCCCTCAGTCTCCACAGTAGCTAGGACTACAGGCATGTGCCACCACACCCAGCTTCCAGAGTCTGCTTTTTAGCTTCCTCCTCCATTTCAGCCCCACATTTTCTCCTTTTGGAGCAGGAAGACACCTGCCCTGTCCCAGGCTTGGGGGTGACAGATGCAGCTGTTGAATGGGAAGTAGAGTGACAACACTGCTGGCATTACCCATCCCTAACACCTGCTGTCAGGAAAGAGCCTGAGGTGGGGAGAACAGTCCCATAGGAGGATCCCCAAGGTGGCTAGTTGAGCTGCCAGCCACATTGAGGGAGCACCCTTAGGGGAGCCTCCATTTACCCTCCCTGTGTCGTGTTTCATTCTCTCAGGTCTCATCGCACTTGCTGGGCTTCTGCTCTTCACTGGCCTGTGCCAGGCACCAGGTTGAAAGAGAAGCAGAAAACTAAAGGGCAATGTGGTCAGAAGGCAGAGGTGAGGCAGGGATACTTTGTGGGGCCCAGCTCTGCAGGTGGTGAGGGTGTGCTGGCCAAAGTGTGTGAGAGATATGAAGTTCTGTAGAACACTGGCATGCACAGGTGTATCCCCAGGTGACACTGGCTGCCAGCCCTTCCTCCTGCAGAGCAGCACCTACCCCACCAGTCTTCGGGCCCCTTCCTCCCCAACAGGCTACCCAAGTGCTTACAGGCAGATTTCCAATGCTTACTGGCCTGCGCTGGCATTTATCAGGCCCAAGAGCTCCTGGGTGTGTACAGGGAGAGTGAACCACCCAAGATAAACCCACTGCAGCACAGCCAGCTGCCCGCCCTGCATGCCGCCTGATAACGAAAGAGGGGCAATGCAGGGCTGCAGGCAGGACGACTCAGCAGGGATGCCACTCTGGTGACAGGAAGGACAGGCACCTGCCATGGAAGGTAGGGATGTTCTCCTGGGCAAAGCCTCCAGACCACCAGGCAGTGGGAGGGGAGAGAGATGAGGCCTGTGCTCCCTGGGATCCAAGGCAGCTTCACTTTAGCCAGCAGTCGTCCTTGGGTCTCTGGGCTCATATCAAAGCCATCAAGTATTTACCACAGTCTAGGCCCTTTCAGAGTCCTTGAGTTGAATTAGGAATTGCAACAGAAAGTGGACTGGTGCCTGGTTCTGCGTCGAAGTCAGAGCACTTTCTCTTCCCTCTCCCTCCACTCCCTTCTCTGTTTCCCCCTTTTTTTGCCCCTTGCTTGCTTTTCATGCCAGTAGCTTGACAGTACAGACAGCTGACACCTTCTGCAGGATAGAGAGGCTGAGAGTGGCCCTCTGTGCCACTTGTCCTGGTGGGGAACCGAGGCAAGGTGACACCACAGTGAGCCCAAAAGGAATTCCAAAAACAAAATATGAGTCCAGGCAGCTTCCCCTGTGCCCAGGGCTGCTTCCCCTCAGACCATGGTGTAGCTGAGCCTGCCAGGAGACTCCAAGTGGCAGAGGTTGCATTGGGATTCTTGCTCATTCATGAAGGGTTGCCTTCACAGCTGAAGCCACACAGGCTTAAGGAAACTATCTTACTTCTGTGTCTAGCTAAGAACACTGGGTGGAGTTTGAATCTCAAGAGGCAAACTGTGGCTGACACAGTGTGTATGTGAGGCGTGGCTTGCAGAGGTGACCATGTACCCTTGCTAGCCTCCCACCACATTGCCTCGCTTCTGGGTTCGTGCAGACAATGTGGATGGAGTTGTTCTTTCTGTTCTGGTGCTTGATGCCTTGTCACCCCGATTGTCACAGGGTGGGATCTCCCATCCTGATAAAATAGACCTTGCACCATGTTTAACCAGATGGAGTTTCTGCCTTTTGGAAATTGTGGGACCCTCCTGGGTCTGGGCCCCAGACCTGTGCCAACTTCCTTCTTTCTCACCTGTCACTCCTTCTCCCAGCAGGGCAGCAAGGCTTCGATCTCCTGGTGATTGGCGGGGGATCTGGTGGCCTGGCTTGTGCCAAGGAAGGTAGGTGTCCTGTGTCCTATGTCCCCCCTGGCGCAGCAGGGCCTCAGAGCTTTTGGGGCTCCCAGAAGAGGGTGACGTGAGCAGAATCGCCCTTTCACTGACTGACAGGGTCACCCCGTGGCCTCCTTGCTGTGCCCCACTCCCTACTGCCGTGCCCTGGCTGTCTGCTGCGTGCAGCAGCCACTGTGGTCCTTTACGTCTGAGCTGCCTTTCTCAGTTCCAGGGCCCCTAGGGTCTGCCCCCTCTCTCCAGTCTCAGGTCTCTGGCCTCCTTACTCTCCCTCATATGCCTCTGGAAGGTCCTCCTGTCTTCCACCTCACCCTGGCTGTGGCCCTGCCTTGCCTGCTCTGTGCCCACCCAACTAGCAGCAAGGCTGGCTCACTTGCCTCAGCTGTTGCTGCGGAGTAGGCACTGGTAGGACAGCACCCCTCACCTAGCCATCCTCGGTGTTCATGTTCTTGGCACTGGTCCTTCCCTTAGAGCCCACAGTTGGCTCTGTTGACCATGTTCTGCTTTTGGGCTGGCACCCTGTGGGCATGCATATAGATGTGTTGGGTGAATGGACTGGACCCAGAGGCATCCAGAATCATCCAGTAGCAGTTCCCTGCTACTCCAGATGGTGCACAGCCACCAGCACTTTTGTTGGGACCCTCTGTCCTGCTGCAGGAGCTCCTGGTGTACTCAGCCTATCTCACGATGGAAAGGGACAAGTATGGGTGAATAGGGAGGGAAGGAGGGAGGAGGAAGGAGGGAGGAGGAAGGAGAGGGTGTTGACTGGGTTCTGGCCGTGAAATTTGGCTTCTCTGACATCAATATCGGGTTGTAAGGTAGAGATGTTCTCCCGGGCAAAGAGTCAGAATCACAGAGAGCGTAAAAGAGAACCATTGCCGTAGCTCTGCTCTGGGAGTGAGAAAGGAGCAGGAACCTGGAAAGTATCCCAGCTGATTGGGGATCAGTACAGCATGCCAGGTCGGCTCACACCTGGACCTCCAGAGCCATCCCTGGAAACAGTTGGCAAATATGATGTCCTTTATAGCAGAGGGACACGTGCACTCCTGGGCTGTGGCTCCAGAGACTCCTGGAGCCTCCTTTGACTTGGAATTTGGATGGTTCCTGGGTGTGCCTTCACCTTTGTTAGAGTGGTGTTTCCTCTGCAAATGACAGCTTGATATTGCAGCTTTGTTGAGGTATAACTGACATGTAATAAATCAAGGAGTTAGGACATCCTTCACTCTGTTATGTGCCAGTGCCTGACCAAGCACCGACTGGGCAGCTGAAACAGCAGACATCTGTTGTCTCGCAGTTCTGTAGGCCAGAGGCCTGATATCAAGCTGTGGGCAAGTTGGTTTCCTCTGAGCCCTTTCTCCTGGCTGTAGATGACTGCCTTCTCCCTGTGTCTTCACAGGGTTGGCCCTCTGTGCCCATCTGTATCCTAATCTCCTCTTATGAGGACACCAGCCCTATTGGATCAGAGCCCTCAGGGTTTCATTTTATCTTCATTATCCGGTCTCCAAATTCAGTCACATTCTGAGGTACTGGGGCTAGGGCTTCCAGTTAGGAATTTTGAGGGGGCACAGCTCAGCCTATAACAACCCCCAAAGTTTCCTCAAATCTTGATTATCCCTTCCCTTTCCCCCTCCCTCCACATCCCACTTCCAACCAACAGCCCACTTCCTCTCACTGTAGATGAGCCTGCCTTTTCTAAAATCAGGCATAAATGAAACCCTGTTATGCATACTCTTCCTTCTCCAGCTTCCTTCCCTGGCATGATGCTTTTGAGATTTGTCTGTTCTGCTGCGCAAGTTGGTTGTTCATTCCTTTTTATTTCTTAGCTGTGTCCCATGGTGTGGCTGCGTCACATTTTGTTGATGCATTCCCCTGTCGATGGGTACTTGGTGGTTTCCACCCTTTGGCTCTTGTGAATAGTGCTGCTGTGAACGTTTGTCTGTGTGTCTCTGCGTGAACATGTGTTTTAAATTCTTCTGGGTAAATGCTCAAAGTAGACCTACTGGGTTGTATGGTGAATTTCTTACATAGGCATTTTTCATTTCTTTTAGCAGTAGTTGTTTGTACTTTCCTTTTTTTTTTTTTTTTTTGAGTTGGGATCTCACTGTTGCTCAGGCTGGAGTGCAGTGCACAATCACAGCTCACCACAGCCTCAACCTCCTGGGCTCAGGTGATCCTCCACCTCAGCCTCCTGAGTAGCTAGGACTACAGGCTTATACCACCACACCTGGCTGATTTTGTGTGTGTGTGTGTGTGTGTGTGTGTGTGTGTGTGTGTGTGTGTGTGTGTGTGGTGACAGGATCTCACTATGTTGCCCAGGCTGGTCTCAAACTCAAACTGTAGGCTGAACTCAAGCAATCCTCTCACCTTGGACTCCCAAAGTACTGAGATTACAGGCATAAGCTACTGCACATGGCCAATATTTTGTATTTTTCAATATACAGATCTTTCACATCTTTTGTCAGATATTCCCTAAGTGTTTCATATCTTTATAACAGCGTTATTAAGATATGCATCACATACCATATGTAGTTGTCCATTGGCATCCAAGGGCCCCCTGCTATTACCAGAATCCAGGGATACCAAAATCCACACAAATGCCCGTGGAAGCCATAGACATGAAAAGTCAGTCCTCCATATAAGTGGGTTTTGCATCCTGCAAATACTGTATTTTCTGTGCAAGTCTGGTTACAGAGGTGGAATCCACTGATACAGAGGGACTACATTTATTGAAAAAAAATCCATGTGTAAGTAGACCTGCGCAGCTCAAACCCATGTTGTTCCAGGGCCAACTGTCATTCACTATTTAAAGTGCATTATTCAGTGGTTCTTAGTATATTTACAGAGTTGTGCAGCTGCCACCACCATCAATTTTAGAACATTTTCATCTGTCCCCCAAATACTCCACCCATTAGCCTCACTCTCCATTCCCCCCCCTCCCCCAGCAGCCACTGATCTGCTTCCTGTGCCTATAGATTGGTCTATTCTGGACATTTCATGTCAGTGGAATCACATGTGATCTTTTGTCATTGCTTCCACTTAACATGATGTTTTCAATGTTCACCCATGACATAGCATGTATTAGGACTTTGTTCCTTCTTATGGTTGAATGGCATTCCTTTGCGTGACTGTGTGTTTCTCTATCCATTTGTTGGGTTATCCATTCCCACTTTTTGACCATTGATCTGAACATTTGTGTGTGAGTTTTTGTGTGAATATATGTTCTCATTTCTTTTGGGTATTTACCTATGAATGGGGTTGCTGGGTCATGGTCATTCTGTGGCTAGCCAGTTTGAGGACCTGCCAGACTGTTCATCACAATGGCTTCCCCATTTGTACTCCCACCAGCAGTGAGGGTCCAGTTTCTTCACATCCTCTCCAGCACTTGGTGTCTCTCTTTTATTTTTTTTTTAAGTTGGATTCTCACTCTGTTGCTCAGGCTGGAGTGCAGTGGCACACTCACATCCCCCCAGAGTCGACCAACTGGGCTCTGGTGATCCTTCCGCCTCAGCCTTCCAAGTGGCCAGAACTATAGGTGTATGCTGCCGCACCTGGCTAATTTTTTATTTATTGTAGAGACGAGGTCTCGCCAAGTTACCTAAGCTGGTCTTGAATCCATGGGCTCAGGCAGTCCACTCGCTTCGGCCTTCCAAAGTGCTGGGATTATAGGCTGAGCCACTGAACCTGGCCCAAGTCTATCTTTTTTATTATAGCCGTCCTAAGTAGATGTGAAGTGGTATGTGTATAAGGGAGTACCGATGTGTGAGGGACCAATTTCTCCACATCCTCTCCAGCACTTGGTGTCTGTCCTTTTTTATTATAGCCATCCTAAGTAGGTGTGAAGTGGCATCTCATTGTGCGTCCCTAATAACTAACAACAAGTTGAGTAACTTTTCGGGTGTTTGTTGGCCATTTGTGTGTCTTTTTGGAGAAATGCTTATGCAGAATGTTTGCCCATTTTTGAAAATGGGCTATTTGTCTTTTTTATTATTGAGTTTAAAAAATATATATTCTGTATACTAGACCCTTATCAGATATGTGATTTCCAAATACTTTCTCCCATTCTGTGGGTTGTCTTTTCACTTTACTGATAGTGCCCTTTGTGACACAAACATTTTTAATATTGATGAAGTCCAATTTATCTATTTTTTTCCTTTGTTGCTTATGATTTTGGTGCCATATCTAAGGAACTATCACTTAATCCAAAGTCACAAAGATTGATACCTATGTTTTCTTCTAAGTGTCTTACAGTCTAAGCTCTTACATTTCAGTCTTTGATCTATTTTGAATTGTTATACAGATGTGGTGGGAGGCGGTTACTTTGGGCTTTATAGTATGTGCCTTTAACCTGTCCTTGCACTTTCCAATGGGATTCTACCACTTTACACACCGTGTCCAAGCCTGCAATAGCATACTTCTCTTCCTCCCTTTCCAGCTTTTGTTCTGTGTTACCATACATTTTACTTTCACATGTTATAAATCCCACAACACATTGTTATTGTTTTTGTTTAAACAGGTACCTTGTGAAAGGATTTAAATAATTCAAGAACATCTTATGTGTTTATCCCATCCCCCACTCCTGGTGTTCTTCATTCCTGTGTGTAGATGCACATTTCCACCTGGTATTGTTTTTCTTCTACCTTTAGGATGTCCATTAACGTTTCTTATAATGTGGCTCATGTTAATGAATTCTTCTGGCTTTTGTATGTCTAAAGACTTCTTTATTTTGCCTTCCTTTTAAAAATATTTTTTCTCTGGGCATACATTTAAGGTAGGTAATTTTTTTTCTTTTCGTACTTTAAAAATCTCATCTGTTCATCTTTGCTCTTGCATTGTTTCCAGTGGGAAACCTGTCATCTCACTCTTTGTTTCTCTGTATTGTGTCTTTTTTTCTCTGGCTGCTTTTAGGATGTCTTTTCTCACTGGTTTTTACTTATGGTGTGCCTTGATGTCATTCTCCTAATTGTTTTATTTGCTTGTTTTGCTAGAGTTTATTGAGCTTCTTGGTTCTGTGGATTTTCAGTTTTTATGAAGTTGTAAAACTTTTCGACTTTTATTTCTTCAAATAATTTTTCTGTCTCTCCCTCTTGCCCTTACTTCTGGAGGCTTTTATTCCATCTATATTAGTCTGTTTGAGATTGTCCAAGCTCACTGGTGCTCTTTTCATTTAAAAGGATTTTTTATAGTCTTTGTGTTTCATTTTTGATAGTTTCAATTCCTGTTTTCAAATCTACTAATAAAATATCCCACAACATCTGGTCTGCTATTAATCCTAGTCAGTGTGTTTTTCATCTCTCGTATTGTGGTTTTCATCTCTACAAATCCGGCTTGGGTTCTTGTTACATGTTTCATGTTGCTCCCTAACTCTCTGAACACATGGAATTGTTAGACTACCTGTTTTACTAATCTTTTCTGCTAATTCTGGTGTCTGTGTCAGTTCTCAGTCAGTTTCTATTGACCAGTTATTTCCCCCTTTATGGGAATATTTTCCTGCTTCTTTGCATGCCTGGTGATTTTTGGTTGAGTGCCAGACACTTTGAATTTGTTTTCTGGGTTCTGGACACTTTTGTGTTCCTAGAGATGTTAGTATTGAGCTTTGTTCTGGGATGCAGGTAAGTTATTAACAGACTATCTTCTCCTTTTGGGGTTCTGCTTATGCTTTGTTAGGTGGGTATGAAGCAGTGCCTGAGCTAGGGCTAATTATTCTCAACTACAGGCATGCCCCAGTGTCCCAGGAATTATGGACTTTGTCCAGGCTGGCTTCTAGGAAGAGACACTCTTCCCTTCCTGTGTGAGCGTTGCCCCCTTCAGTCCTTCCAGGTGGCTCTGTCCCTGGCCTCAGATGCTTTCCTCACACACAGCTCTGATCTGACCTCTGGGGTTCTCTGTGTAGCTCTTTTCTCTCTGGTCTTCTGTCTCCTAACCTTTCACTGCCTCAGTCTCCCTGGGATCTCTCTCTCTGTCCCTTCCTCCTCCAGCCTCTGCCCTGGTCTCCCCTACCCACAGTGCAGGCTCCTGGTGACTCTCCAGGGCTCACCATGTTTGTGTCCTGTGTCTCAGGCCTACAGCTGCCTACTGTTCAGTGTCTTTTTTTTTTTTTTTTTTTTGA